GTAGATTCAGCCTCGGCCTCGGGCTCGTGCCCGCCCCCAATTTCAGCCTCGACCTCGGGCTCAAGGCCGCCTCCGGCCTCGGCTTCCGAGCCGCGACCTCCCTCGCCCCCCGATCCCGAGTGGCGCTCCGCATGGATCCCGGTCTCAGAGCCGCCCCCGGGAGGGACGTCACCGCCGCTATCGCTCGCAGTGGGTCGAGTCCCGGCTGAGGTTAGCCCGGGGTCGGACCCGGTGTGCGGCCCGTGGGCCCCGCCGAGAGGCTGTGAAGGCCCCACGGCCCTGGATCGGCCAAGCCCGGGCCACTCCATTCGTTCGGATTTCATCCCCTGCAAAGGGTCGGACCCCGAGATCCCCTGGGAAAGAATCTCGCTACAAGAGAACCCCGATGGCGTTAATGAAGAAAAAGAAGAGGAAGGAACAAGAGACCGAGATGAGTAAAAAGCACCGTAGTGGGTGCCGGCAGTGGTACCTGCGGGGAGGGCGGTTGAAAGTCCACTTCAGGGGCTCAATGAAGCTCCCCCAACACGGCTCCGTTTGACCTATCTTCCGGAGCCGCTTCTTCTTCCGTCCGGCCTCAGGCTCGACGGGGCGCTTGTGGCCTGCTGGCGGTCGGTCCGCCACACGCTCGGCGCCCCCTCCACGCGGGGGAGAGGGCGGTCGAGATTTGGGCATCTTCCGCTTCCCTTTCAGGTCGCTGGCCGAGTCGTCCCTGGGTCCGTGGCTCGGGCCGGGTGCCCCGGAGCTGCCACCCCCGCCGGGTCCGCTTGTCCGACTCCCGCATACGGTCGCGTCACCGCCACTCACGCCGGCAGCGCTGCCACCGGCGCCGCCCCGGTAGGACCGGCTCCTGCCGGCCGACATCACAGCCAGGATGCTCTCCCGATCGCGGTCACAGCAGAGGGGAAGGATCCCGTCTGGAATCAGTGTTTGCTCGGCGGAGTCTAGACCCAACACCCGCCGAATCACCGTCTTCGCGTCCTCCTCCCCCCATTCCCAGCGCTCACCCACATGCGTGCGCATGGGGTCGTTAGGACCAGTGTACTCCCATGCGCCACGGGATCGATCCTGAAGAGGCGCGATGCGGCGGCGGAAATAATCGCCAAAGACCATTGCCGCTGTGAGGCCTAGGCTTCACAGGCCCCTGAGGCGATCCTGCACCGCGTCGTACTCTTCGCCCAACTCTGAAACCGCCAGCCATGCGGCGGATCGTTCGGGAGGGCCAGCGGGAAGCCGAAGTCGCGGGTGGTCCGGCAGCGCGATGTAGAACCAGTCCTTCCTCCAGTCCACTCATTTCTTGCGGAGATGACTCTCGATGTATTGCCCCGCCGTGGCTGGCCGGGGCTGGAAGTAACATCCCCCCACCACCGCACCTTGCAGCAGCTGCGGGATGAAGAAAGACTGGAACAGCCGCATCATCGGCCGCACCCCGATGAACATCTCGCACAGATGTGCGAAGATGGGCAGCGTCATCACAGCATTGGGTGCGAGATGCAAGGCATGGATTTCATAGAAATCCAAAACCTCGTGGAAGAATCCGAAGAATGGCGGAATCAACCCCACCATAGCAAAGGACAAGAGGTGCACAGATCCCTCCGGATATCGCGGCCGTGGCCGCAACTCCCCCGCCCTCACGACGGTGCCTTCCGGCATGGTCTTGCGGGGGAGGCTAAGGTGCCTATCCGCCATAATGCGTGATGCCGGGAGCACTGTGTCGCCAGCGTCTTGAGCCATGATGGCCGGCGGAGAAACGGCGAAGGGCTTGGCGCGCGGAGTAGTGTGAATTGGCGAGAATGTTAGGGCTTAGAGAGCGAGTAGGCGGGTGAGTAGGCGGGTGAGCACTTGGCGAAAGGAAGAATGCAAAGTCCCTGCCTCCGTATCCTTTTATCCTCACCTCGCCTGCGCTCGCCTCCTCGTTTCACGCCCTCACGGTTGCCTCCACGATTCTCGCGCCCGCGGTTGTCTCATCATTTCCCGCGTCCACTCATCACATCGCCCACTGAATCCGCGCCCCGCATTTAGTGCACCCGTCAGCGGCACACTCGGCGTAGGGCACGCAACGGTCACGGGCGCAACCTAGGCGAACCGTCGCCAGTACCACCGCATGAGTAGCGAGCGAAGGAGTCGAGGCGTGGTCTAACCGACCCCCCGATTTTCGTGTCTTAAACATCCTCATCATCAGCACGGTCAGTGGCGGCCAAACCGCTGCTGTGGTTGATACGCCAACTTGGCCACTCGGCAGCATTCCCTTAGATTCCCTGCCGGGCCCGCAACCCTAGCTTGGGAAGTCGTGAGGCACCACGTCAGACCGACCTCAGGAGGCCAATGTCCGATATGGTGCCGGGGGCTACTGTCGGAGATATGGGACCGGGGGTATGCGAAGTGTGAGGAATCTACCTTCCTATTCTGCCGCGTGTCCTACAGCCTGGTCCTGCCCCCGCAGCCCGCGAACCGCTGGAGCGGCCAGGGGGGGTCGGGGCCTCGGGGTGCCACGTCATGCCCCTCGGGCCCTTGCACCGCTTCGCCCCGAGGCCCTCGCCCAGCCGCCATTTGGCGGGGGGAGCTAGCGAGGAGGGGGCCCAGGCTGAGCATCCTTTATTGCGTGCAACGCCCCAACTGCCCCCTGTCGCATTTAATGCAGTGAGGCAGACGTGCGGCGTGCGCATTTGACGCGCCATAATCAAGAATGACCGGTCTGTGACCGGTCATGACACCGGTCATGTCTGACTAGACCGACAACCGTGCTCCCACGTCGCGTCTGCTCCTGGCGGAGTGGAGGTAGGTATGACCCGTCCCATCGGAGGGTCATTCGGAAGGCGGCCACCACAAGTCTTCATCCATTAATGGGGGAATGACAGGGCTGTCCCCCGTGTCAGGCGAGGGACGGCGCTGGGCCCCACTTGAGGACAAGCTGTGGCTTAGCTTCCAGGCGAAGGCACGGGTCGAGTTCCGGTCAAGATAGGGTGGGTCCCCACCCGAAAGAAGAGTAGGTAGAGGCGGTGCATGTGGTATCCCCTTGAGATACAAAAGGAGGTCCTTGCCCATCGAGAAGAAGGACGACGCTGAGTAGACCTGAACTCTAGGAGAAGAAGAGCAAGAGAACTCTCCGGAGTTAAGGAACCCTTGTAACACTCAACCATAATCCCAAACACAGGAGTATGGTATTACGCTTCTCAGCGGCCCGAACCAGTATAATTCGATTGTGTGCAAGCTAGCTAGTAGCCCTAGGGGCGGATACGAGATTTCCAAGAGACGAGCTTCTTCCCCCGGCCGAACTCACGAAAGGGGGGCCTCACGACCTCCCGCTATCGAGGGACTTCCCTCGACACTATAATACTGTCTTAAAATGATTGATAAAAACTAAACAAACAGGATTACAGCCGATAGGGCATATTTAGAGTTTTTGCTTTAACTGACTATCATAAAGCCGCAGCTGATTAGGTTTAACCGTATCGGCTAGGTCCTGACGATACGTCATCTACCCTATTGGCTGATCTACTATCGTTCATCTAATTGCAGTTTATTGTCTTTCTTGCTGGTTCTAGGATCAAACCAGCTGGCATGCTCTTGACACTCGAGGTAAGCCTTAGACCTGCACTAGAGTGAAGCAAATCTCCCAGGCCACCGTGTTTTCCGTCAACAACATATTAGACACAAACTCTAATAGTTGAACTTAATGAGTGAGATTTGTAGGACTGCAATTGGTGAACTATAGGATAGATTAGTCCATTATGTAATAACTGGTCTGACAAAAATTATTCAATCATTCAGTTGTATTAACATTAGGTTGCATATATGGATTTTTTCTGAACTACCTAAATATTCCTACCATACACTGTTTATAGATGGTGCAAAGACTTAGGCTGAGTTCTTTTTAGGGTGCGGTAAAAGACTTGAAAAATAGATTAATATGATTTTTCAAAGCAACTTTGCTATAGAAACTTTTTACAAACAACACACCATATAACAGTTTGGAAAGCGTGAGCGTAGAAAAGAACTTAGGGTAAAAGAATATATCATTAGGTAGTGTTTGGTTGCAAGGAAGGGATGGGGTGGGATGGGATGAACCCACTTTTAGGGGTGCTTGGTTTAGGGGTAAGTGGGCTGGTATGGTCCCTAGAGAGGAATATTCCTCTCAGATCATGTACCAATCAATCCAGCAAAATCGACCGGACGAGTTCGCCCTATCTGGGACGAGCGCACGGCATGAGCCGGTGCTTTACCCTGCTCGCGCCGTCATCTGTCCGCGTTCTGTTGCCCTTCCCGCCACCCTGCTCGCTCCGTCGTCCATCCATGCTCGCTCGCCCAACTCGCCGCCCTGCTCGCCCTGCACGGTGGGCGATGGATCCAATGATGCCGCCCTCGGGAGAACGGGCTCAAGCGGCGGTAGACGGCTTGGGCGACGGCGGCGGCGGGGGGCTCGGCGATGGATCCGGCAAGGGTGAGTGCAACGGCAGTGGCGGCGGTTTGCGGCCACGTCATGCTCCTCCTCCCGCCTGGCTATCCCCGAGACGGAGCTCCTCCGCTCGTTAGGCCATTGTCACACATATCCGAAGTGAGTGCTCGTCGTTGTCCTTCTTGCAAGCCTGCCCTCGCCGCAAGCTTGCTTGCCCGCCGGCCCATCTCGCGCGCCGCCCGGTCATTGATGGTAGCTGCAAACGTATCCATCCCATATCTCCCTCATCCCTTCAACCAAACAAAAAATTGTAATTGTACTATCCTACAAACCAAATATGTGAGTGGAATCATCCCAACTCTAAAATCAAGAATGGTTAATTTCATCCCATCCCGCCTAGTCCGGAAACCAAACACATGTTTATTTTGTTCGTATAGTTAGGGCACCCGCAATGGTTATCTATAGGCTCTCTACAAGAGATCCATGTCAGCATATTTTTCTACTTGAAAGAAATTAAATGAAGAGAGAGAGCAAAGCTATCTACTAACCTGGAGATAGTCTATAGAGAAAAACGAGGTAATGCATTAGAGAGCTATAGATATCCATGTAGACATACTATTGAGATGGTTTACTATTAATCTAATCTATTGCTGAGATGTACATATTTTATAGAGAGCACCTTACTTTACCATTGCGGGTGCCCTTACATGGGCAAAATCCCGTATAATTTTTGGGATAGAGGTTGGAAATTGTACACTTATTTCGGCATAACCTAGGTAGTTTTCACGTAGCTAAGAATAGTATAGACTGTCTGCAGCAGCGATGGCACAACGATGACCGCCGCAGCCGCCACGAGCGACACGACCACCCATGGCGACGGGAAAAAGTGAAGCACAAAGCCGCCACACCACCAGCTCACCTTCCTGCTCCGGTGGCACGCCACGGCATCCACCATCTCCGCGTACTCGTCGGGGAGGCGCGCGCCGACGGTCTCCTCCCCGAGCTCGCGGAAGAAGGCCACCAGCTCCGCGTCCGTCTTGCGCATGCTCGACAGCACGCCTCGCCGCCGGAGGAACGCCGCGTCCTGCGGGCACCGGACGAGGCCCTCCATCCTCGCCACGTGAGCCGTCACGCACGCGCCGTGCGCCCAGTGGAAGTGCTTCTCGAAGGCGATCATGTTGTGCAGCACGGTGGCGCTGTACTCGTGCACGTCGAGGCAGGGGATGGTCATCACCGCCACGGGGCTCGCCGTCCGGCCCCAGAACCACATGTCGAGGTCGCCGCAGCTCGCCGCCGCGCTCCGGAACCACACCGCCGACCGGCAGAGCTCCATGGAGCTCGGGAACAGCCGCTCCGACTCCTTCTTGATCTTGAGAAGCTTCCGTGGCGTCGACAGGATGCAGTACTTGCTCGTCGGCACGCGCGACCAGTGAAAGAGGTGTAGCACGTGCTGGAACGGCTCGGTGTCGCCGGCGGCGGGGCTCGCTCGCTTCGGCAAGATGTCGTCGAAGCAGCCGAGCACGAGCTCTTCGACGGGGCGCAGGAGCTTGAGCTTGCTGCACGAGGCGGCAAGCAGCTTGACGGCGGCGAAGGGTACCTGGTTCTCGAGCACCAGCATGTCCAGCTTGATGTCCTCGGCGTGCTGCGACACGGCCATGTGAAGTATGAAGTACTCCCGGCTGATGGACGCCGCCCGCGACACGCAGCTGGCCTTGTCGCCGTCGGTGCAGACCTTGCTGAGCATCATGCTGACCACGAGGATGAAGCAGCTGTCAAGAAGAACCATCTGCAGGAACTTCTCCTCGTCCCCAAGTATCTCCGCGGCGACATCGTCCCCGACGTCGTCGTCGGCGAACTCATCGCGGAGGCGGTCGCTCTCGTCGGCGAGCGCCGCGACGTAGTGTTCGACGTCGAGGCCGCACTGGTCCTGCAGGTAGCGCAGGAACGGCAGCTTGGCGTCGTCGGGGAAGGGGAGCCAGTGGTCACGACGGTGGAACGGGCCGATGGCCACGGCGCGCACCGCGTGCAGAGCGTCGACGCCGGCGCGCCGGGAGCGCGGCCGGAGGATGGTGCCGGAGCGCTCGCCGAGGTACCACAGCATGGGCGTCCGCGCGATGAGGTCTCTCAGCACGGCGGTGTTGACGCTCGACGACGTCAGCTTGCGCAGCCACTTTGTCTCCGCTGCGCCGCCGGCGCCGGCGACCGCGCCGCCCAGCTCCTTCTTGTCCGCGGCGCCATCGATGGAGGCCGTGCCGCCCAACTCCTTCATCTCCCCTGCGCCATGGACGGCGGCAGCGACGCCCAATTCCTTCATCTCCACTGCGCCATCGACGATGCCCAACTCCTTCATCTCCTTTGGGCCATCGATGGCGGTCGCGCCACCCAACTCCGGTGAGATGTCGATCAGGTGGTGATGGTTGATCGCGTTAATTTTCGTTTCCTCTGCCATTGTGACTCTGTTTGTCCACGAATTGGGGGAATTTCTCTCAATTAAGCTTGTCTTCATTAGTTTGGATCATACAATTATCTGACGAAAAGGGAATCTGAAAGATCAGCGTAATGTGGCAAGTATGACAAGTCACGTTCTAGCTCACCAAATCGACAAAATCAGACGGCTATCTTGAATTAATTAAAAAGGCCAATAATGAAGGAGAAATTATGCTGAATTTGATTATATTATAGAACATTGGGAGTAAAGATATGGTCAGATTTTGAAAAAAAAAAATCTACTGTCATATTATATGGACAAACAGCAAGAGGACGAAACTGACACTGATGGCTTTGTGGAGAAAAGTAGTCCTTGTCGATGTTGTTGGTGTCTCGTGATCTCTCCATCCGAAGATTAAAAAATTGATGCGAATTGACGGCGAAATGAACTCAGTTGTACACAGTTGTAAGGCCATCACTAACCCTACATATCAACGAGTGTCAATAGCATTAAATACATTGTCACATAGGTAAAAATCTGATGTGGCAAAAGAGTTAATGAAGAAAAAGATAAAAAGAGAAAAAATCATTTATCATGCAAGAAACCATCTCTACACAAGAATCAAAAATAAAAATAAAAGGATAGGTGAATAAAAAGAGAGAAGAGAAATGATTGGATAAATATTTAATTTAAAGACACCATTCGTTGGATATATAAATAGTGTCTGCATAACATGAAAAGCATGAAAACTACTCGATAGTTTCTGGGTTGGGAATGGCTTAAGATGTTGATGGCTTGTTTGCTGCGTTGGAAGTATTTTGATGTCATGGCCTCATGGCGGTTAGACTTATCCCAATGCATCGAGTCAATAAATGGTTGTGCTAAATACTAGTAGCTAATGTTGTTCACTAACTTCAAAAAGCTTACATCACCTGCGTGGAAATGTTTAAAAGATTGCTTGTCGAGCCCTCGTGTCGAGGGATATACATACAGTAACTGAAGTTGATGGTTGAAAGAAACATCCATGCCTTGCCCCCTTTGCCACAACAGCTAAAACATATAGTTTCAACAGAAGTAACAATCCTATTCGTTGTTCAAATCGGTGATTGTTAGGAATACCTCAAGGACATTCACCGATTCACGATGAAAGACACACCTTACAGGTATCCGTAGAGAATGTCCCATATAAATTAGACCATATTTTTCTACGGCAAAATTTGCTATAGGATATCGTGACTTCGCGGTTTTAGCTGTACGACACCGTGCAAAATGAATTTTGGGGGAAGACACTCTGAAAAATTGGATGAAAAGTTGAATCTTTGTTGGTGGATACCGCGTCCATTAAAATAATAATTTTCGGTTGGAAAGGGGAGAAAAATCACGCGAAAGTTATAAAATGTCCTTAAACCCACCCGTCAGATCTCCCATCAAACAGTTTTGAGCTGAACAATGATGATGGATGTGTGTGTTGATGGGTTCAGACCAAGGAAGCTGCCGAGCTCGATTACTAGTCGTCTGCACATGCCGCAATGGCGGCGGCAGCGGCGCCTGCTTCCGCGGCCAACAACGGTGGCGGCAACTGGCCTGGTCAAGACAGCTGTCTCACGGCAGCGCCTGGGCGCGGCGCGCATAGCAAGAGGTCATGCGCGACGGCCGCGACCGCCGCTGCGTGGCACACCCTTGGCCCACATCCGACATTTTAGTCGTCGCTGTCATCGTCCCGCCCGTCGTCCGACTTCCCGTCCTCTAAAAAGCTGTCGGCCACAAGGCTGAACGGCTCCAGCGGCAGCCGCGGCAAGAAGAGCCCCGGCCCCGCGGGGGTGAAGGTGGGCATGGAGGCCGGCGTGTACGTGGCGGTGCATGCACTGCGCGTCGGAGAAAACGTCGTAGCTGCTGACGGGTCCCCTGGGTCCCAAGACCCTCTGCAACGCGTGTGGCTTGAGGTTCATGTCTGGGCGGCTGATGCCGGAGTACAAGGCGGCGGCCATGCCACCTCTGTGGTTGACGACGAGCGGCGGCGACCATAGTAGTATGGAATAAGGGGACGGAGAGAAGAGAGATGGGAGATATGGTGGCTCCAAGGGCATTTTAAAACTTTCACTTAATTTCTAGAGTAAAGTTCATCACCGGTCCCTAAACTTGTACCACTGTGTCATCCTGGTCTCTAAACTCGTAAATCGACCGTTCAGATCCTCAAACTTGTTCAACTGTGTCATCCCGGTCACTAAACTTGCAGATCACTCGTTTAGATTCTCCAACTTGTTCAGTTGTGTCAATCCAGTCCCTAAACAGAACGGTCTAAAAACTTTATATCAAAAAATAATTCATAACTTTTTCATGTGAACTCTAATAAAGATAAACTTTATATCAAAATTGTAGCCCTCGACGTGACCTACAACTTTGTAGTTGAAAAGTTTTTGAATTAAAACTGTTTAGGGTCCCAAATTATTGTTGCATGTTTATAGATTTTGAAATTTTAATTTTAAAATTACACTTTGGGACAAAAAAAATGACTTAAAATAAAAACAAATCAACTACAAAGTTGTAGATCGCGTTGAGGGCTACAAGTTTGATATAAAGTTTGTCTTCATTAGAGTTCACATAAAAAAGTTATGAATTATTTTTAAATATAAAGTCTTTAGACCGTCCTATTTGACCTAGATGATATTCAAATCCAAGTTTAGGGACTGGGGTGATACAACTGAACTAGTTGGAGGATCTAAACGAGTGATCTGCAAGTTTAGAGACCGGGATGACACAGTCAAACAAGTTTGAGGACCTGAACGGTCGATTTGTGAGTTTAGGGACCGGGATGACACAGTAGTACAAGTTTAGGGACCGGTGATGGACTTTACTCTAAATTTTATCTCCTCCTCAACTCAAAATTATTATTTTAATGAGCACAGTATCCACCAGCAAATATCCAATTTTTCAAAGTGTCTTCCATAAAAGTCATTTCGCGCGGTGTCCTACAGCTAAAACCGCGAAGTCATAATATCTTGTAGCAAAATTTGCCTTTTCCTATCTTAGTGGAGAGTAGCTGGAGTGGTATCTTCAGTTTTACATATCAACCCTAATTATTTCATATTTCAATCCTCATATTTTTGAATTTTACAGAGAACTCTAATGCTTCTCACAAACACCCGAAGAAACAAAAAAAATATATAAAATCACCCTCCCATTCCCATCTCTGTCACTCCCTCCCCTTCTCAACCGAGTCACCAACAACTATCTCCCCTCTATCGAGACCGCTCTCCCCTTAGCCAGAGCTCCTTTCTCTCCTCCCACCGTCGAAGCCGCTCTCCCTCACCGTACCACCGACGCAGCTTTCCCTCCCCCTCCGTCAGCGTCGCACACCCTTTCCCCTTCCATAGAGCACACTGTTACTAGCGTAAATGATAAAGTTATGTGCACTTTCTGACAATGGTTTTTGCCTCGTTCTTGTTTTCTTTTCTCGCTCATTTACACATATCCATGTTCACCGGCCATCTTCCTTGTTGAAGGGCCATGTCGATCTGCGATGACTAGTGTCTTACTTCCTTCTTTAATACTATTTGAATTTTTACGTTAAACTTTTTTGTCATCGACCCAAAACGTTCATTACAAATTATTTTCCGATAAAAAAAATCCATAAAGAAAGTTGGCACACAAAAAAGTTTTCCTTAGAGGAAGTTTATATAGGAAACTTGCATAAGGATTTTATACAAAACGTTCACATGAGAGACTATAAGTTTCAACTACAGTTTGAAAAGATACTCGAAATGTTTTCAAAATTAAATTGTTCAAAAGAAATTTAATCTGTTGAAGTCAAAGTTGGGCCATTCTTCCATCCGGACGTTGGGCCAACAGCCGTAGCAGCGTGGCTAATGAAAACTACTCCTGGGCGGTATCGCCTTAGCAAGAGGAAAGGTCCAACTGTACTGTTGCATCCTGGGCGGTATCGCCTCCTAATTAAATTAAGGCCGCCTTAAATTAATCATGTTATTATTTCACCTAAGCATTCCTTAGATCGAACAAATTCGACTATTTTTTATTAAATTTTGGATCAATTATTTAATTGAATTTAAAATTTTCAGCCAAAAGAAGTATGACCTGCCAATAAACCAGAAATTTGTAATTAGGCTGTCAGACATGTTTCATGTGGTTGCCCCGCCCCCTCACCCCTTCTTCCTAATCACACACTCCAAAGCCGCCACTAGCGTTGTGTGGTGGATGCTGCGGTATGCACCAATTAAGTTAAAAGTGTCTTCTAGCAAATTACTAGTTTTTTTTATTTTGTTAAGCCGTACCACGTGTTTACGATATCGATCAGCAAATTATATAAAATTTAAGTGTCCGGTAGGAAAATTTGCCAAATATTAATTGCAGGCTTGCAACACGTGCTAAGTTATATCCCAGTAACTCATAAACATTTTTATTAACATATAATCAGTCACGGCTAATCAGCCAATTAGAGCCCAAGTCATGACGCGTATCATCACCGTTTTGCGATACACTGTCTTGATGATAGCCATGAAGTCTTCTTACTCTTCGGCGGCGGTTTCCTTTTCTCGCAGAGCGGGAGAGGGAGTGACGGGCGCTGCGGAGCTGGAGGCAGGGGAGGCGAATAGTCGATGCAGCGCTAGGAGCTGCGGAATTAGGGAGAGCGACCTCGTGCCGCGGCGCTCGGGGCTGCCTGCCGTGGGCGACGATGCAGCGCGCTTAGGTCGGAGGTTAGGGTGGGGACTAGGGAGGAGAAGGGATCAGGGGAGTGCTACGCACGAATGGGCTCATGCCAGTCCCAACCAAGACATAATTTTTATAAATTCCACATCATCAAAAAAAAAACTAACTAGTATTAGGGCAGGTACAAAGATAGAGTCAGACATGAGCTCTACATTATTTAGAGACTAGCATCCTACAACAGTTAGAATGATCTCTAATCATTAATATATTTAAATACTTTTTCTTACTTTTCTTTCCTTCATTTCACCACCATGCAACAAAATTTACTCTAATAAATGCTAAGAGTCGACTCTGAGCCGTTGTCATGCATAACAACCATACTTCTTTCTATTTCTTCCATGTCATCAAATTTATTTGCATGGCAATAGAGAGAGACCACTAATAAAGGCCGTTGTACATGCCCTTAGACACTACTCTGTTTCAATGCAAACACTAGTGTTCCATACTTAAATTTAATGCTACTTATCTCAAATGATGTTTTGGATGTTGTATAGAAACCATGTCTCATGCAAGATCTGATTTTCTTCTCTTTCCTCATTTATTCACTTGCCACGTCATCTTTTATTCTAGGTGTCAACTTATTTAATGGTATGGACATCATATTAGTCATTGGGTTGGAACTAGCCTCATGGGCTATCTCGTGTGGGCTATTTTGATCCACACCATTGGGATTTAGCTACATCCAAACCATTGAGATTTCATCCAACGGCTGATGTCGATGACGTAGATAACTATAGGGAGTAGTTAATACCACCCACTAAAGGCATGTGCTTAGGGCCTCTTAGCCTTGCC